AATAAAAAATTATAAAATGAAAATTTAGTGAAATTTTGGTATATAATATCTACRGTTAGGTATTCACTATTCATATTTAAATTAGGTACGAAAAAAATAGAAAATTCGTTAGTTTAATTGTGTGAACTTCTTAACTCATAAAAAATTAATTTGACTTTTCGGTGAACTTTTTTTTTGCTCAAAGGGAACTTTTAAGAAATCTTATATTAAAATTATCAAATTTTAGATATAAAAAATAATATTTTTATGAATTTAACCTTAAGATAATTATTTGCAAATTTCCGTGGGTTTGGTGAAAAATTATTGATCCKCAATTTATAATTTAAAAATAAAATTAAAAAAATCGAAAATCTCTTAAAATAGTTTTAAAAAGACAAAATTTAATAATATACCTGTATGAAAAATAGACATACCTACACACATTTTGTGAAAATTTAAAGTACAACACTAGCCTGCAGGTATTGTAAAAATTCCATTTTTGCAATATTTTTGAAAACCGCTCTGCTCCACCCTCCATTTGCACAAACTATATTCAATTTCTWCCAAAAAAMATGTTGAAGTAGAAAATCGAGGTACTTCTACTGCCCCAACAGGTTATAACTGCAGACTCAAAAAAATGTATAGAATAATCTTTGTAAAATTTTGATTAATCAATTTACATTCATCGCTCCTTTCAGAATCTAAAATGTTGCAAGAAAAGTTATACCTTAGTATAATACAAATTTAATAAAAACTAATTTTTTTTTTTAACTAAACAAATATTGATCCAGGATCAAATTAATAATAGTCTTTTCAAATAAAATTATACTCACATTAATTTTGACTTCATATTACAACTTATTATACCATACTAACCCTTATTAGTATCTTGCTATACATCATAACGCTGACCTGGCCAGTTACAATAATAACAACAGGTGTTGAGGTGTATATATATATATATATATATAGGATTTTGAAAAACCTAATATTTTTAAATTTTTTAGAGGTCGAGAGCAGTATTTGCATAAACTGTTTTATATTCTAAATGAATCGGGCTATGTATTTTGGTTTATTTTGGTATATTGTATGGATATTGCATGTTTCTTCATAACATTATATAAGATMAATTCTATATCCGGGACTATTTGATTCATCAGTTCAATAGACCTTCAGAATATTAAATTTGGGTCCCTATATATTATTCATAGGACTCGCACTGGCAAACAGCAAACAATCACATTATTGAAAATAAAAGTGTTGGATTAAATTATTAATCATTATAGTTATATTAGTTAAGAATATAGCTTTTTATAAATTATTGCAATTTGAAATGCTATTAAAATTTTATTTGCGTTTATCGTTGTATGAGAATCATTAAACCGTATAGTATTGCACTATTGTTCCACTAAATATACATCATACGATGGTTGTAGAGGATTCTTATCAATTTATCATGTATCAAAAGGCAAAGTGAAAAGATCTGGTTGTACCTAGGTATATTCTAGATTTCTATTTTAACTTATAATTCACAACTATTATCTACATGATATATCTGTATTTTATTATTTTAAATTTTACAAGTATAGATGATTTGTTATGGATTTTTATATATAATACTGCAGACTACTGTGGCGATAAGAAAAGTTATAACGCAATAGCGTTAAAAATACAGTCTAGATAGGTATTGTGTATTACTGCAGTATTATAGTATATTATTATCATGATATGTTATTTGTTTATACTTATAATCTACGTGTTTGGTATTACTTCTTTACAAGAAATTACTTATTATTCTTATACTAATAATTTTTATGATAATTATGTTGGTTATATTGGCCAGACGGTTAGCGGTTACAACATATTTTTTRTATTTTTACTCGCCTAATAACCGATCGATAAATCAAGGTATACCACGTATATTTTCGTCACTCACTTTATAACTTGATTTTTGAGGATTTTATAACACAATGTATATTTAATCATAACTGAATTGTTATAAGCTTCTAAACAAAATAAAATCACAATATTATAATTTATAAGTAGGTATAAATGTTTAGGTAATATAACGTCGTAACATGATAGATTGATTTTAAATTATATTCATTCAATTTATATTTATATAAATATAAATCAATTATATCTATATATAATTGCATTACTTATCAACATAATCGTAATATTAAGTATTTATTACAATATATAAAGATACACATTTGATAACTATACATTTATGTATATATTATGTGCCATATATAAAATATATAGCGATACTGCATTTGTCACTTCTTGCAAATTGCAATGTCCACCAACGCTCAACATCAAATCGGAGTACTTTAAATATAGGCTATTTATTGATTCTACTATAAAATATAAATACATATTAATATATTATATACCTATATATGTATGATATACACCACCAGCTCAAATATTAACTAACTAAATATTCTTTATGACTGAATAGTCAATAGAATAATACTCTACTGACAATTATTAGGATTAGT